AGCCAGGGGTTTCATTTCATTTCCACTAAGCTTGGGACTGTTATCAACTGCAGAGCAAAACTGCTATCTTTCATCCCAACAAACTAGCCTGTCACAGAACCATGAGTGCAGTCCACTACCACTTCATAGTAGCCATTAGGCATGAATTTGTAATTCAGAATCTGCGCTCCGTCTTCATCACAATGTGCAACCAATGAGATTAGGTGTTGATGATGCAACCTTGGTAAAAATGCAATCTTTCTCAAAAATTCTTTTTGGCCTTTTAAGGAATCTCCTTTTCACTATTCCCATAGTTGTTTCATAAAAACAAAATGCATTTAGAAACCTTCCCATAACCTCCTCAGCAAACTTTAGATGAGTTCCTAACGTTTTGAGTTGCGTGAGCCAGTTCTTTGAAAATGAATGCTTTCGCACCATCTATTTTGATAGAACTATTAAGGGGACGATAGCTTGGGATGGTATGGTATTTGACATGACTTTGTTATCACAAGGATGACTATTGTAAAGATTGCCCCAACACAACGTGGTTGTATTAATATCTCTTGTACGTCTTAGCAAGTACTCTAATTAACACAGAATCTTCCCTTAAATGGTGAGGAGAGTATACTTGTATGGTCGGTTCTGTTGGTTGCCTTCATCATTTTCTTTGCTAGTAGTGGCAAGTTAAATGGCAGATTATGGTTTCTAGCAAGTGCTCCCAAATTTCTTTCTGCCATGCTTCAATCAGAAAATCTTGACCACCCATATACAGAACTCCTGTCTGGTTTATTTCATCGTGTCTTCTCTACTCAACAGTCGTTCATTCTCCTCCAACTCTAAGCAAAGTTGATTTTATGGAGCTTTGACTGTTTGCTTTTTGTTTACGGAGGGTAATGGGCTTGGACTGGTCAAAATCAACTGCTAATTGGGGCAATTTGCTGCTACAGTTAAGCCCATCTTATATTTTATGCCTTGCCAATTCAACATTGGGCTTCTACTTCGTCTAATTTTCTTAAACTCGATCTATGATCCTGTTTGTATCCTTCTCCGTCGTTATCTCTGTCACTTGTCCTGGCCTCAGTCAAATGCACTCCCAAGCTTGTCTTGTTTGCTGCATGACATTCATCTATTGTTTGTGGATGATAATGTTTTTCTTCATCTAGTTTAATATTGATCCCTTAAGATCTTTCGGGTCTTGGATTGGGTCCGCCTTTTCTGTGGTATGAACGAATGATTTGAAGAACTTTGATTGACAGATTCGGAGACACCCACAACCCTGATTTTCTTTCTTTCTTTCCCCCTTTTTTTTTTTTCCCGGTTGGGTTACAAAGGCAAGCCGGTGCATGAGACAGAGAAATTAGGATGGCCTCCTAGGTACACCAATCAAGAGCAAGCAAAACAGTTGCTAGTGACAGCATTGCAAGTCCTCTAAGGACATCCTCAAACAACCATACCGTACATCTGTTACTAGGACTATAAAAAGTATCTTGATGCCCCTCTCTTGCAAGGAAGTCTACGCATCTGATGATGTTTCTACACGTGTATCGTAGTTCTGCCTCCCAATTTTGGAATAGTAGCTCTCTAACTTCAGCAATGACACTTCGCGAGGGGCGATCTAGTGGATGTTCTTGATAAGAAGATTGAAGGCATCCAATGAATCTAAAATCTAAGTGCACAACAACCTCACACGGAATCCAAGTTGCTGCCTGAGTAACCATACCGTACATCTGTTACTAGGACTATAAAAAGTATCTTGATGCCCCTCTCTTGCAAGGAAGTCTACGCATCTGATGATGTTTCTACACGTGTATCGTAGTTCTGCCTCCCAATTTTGGAATAGTAGCTCTCTAACTTCAGCAATGACACTTCGCGAGGGGCGATCTAGTGGATGTTCTCTGATAAGAAGATTGAAGGCATCCAATGAATCTAAAATCTAAGTGCACAACAACCTCACGGAATCCAAGTTGCTGCCTGAGTTCCAAACCTGTTTTAAATTGCCAACAATTCTAACCAAGCACAAGCAAACAGGTCTATGAAATCCCATGACCCACTCTCCTGACTCATTCTGATGAGCCCCCCCCCATGTCACCTGGACAAGTAGCCAATCTGAACTTGTTGACATCAATACAAACTGCACCATAAGTTGGGGGAGTCCGGTAGTCTTCTTGGAGACTATACCCATTAAAGAACAACCCTGATTTTCCATACATACCTTTTCCACCTTTTGTTTTTTGAGGATGTCATATGACTTTCTTTTGTTTTGTTTTGTTTTTGTTTTTTGTTTTTTTTTTTTGGGGCAAACCATAGGACTTTATCTTTCGAGTCTCTTGTGAAAAGGCAATTTTTTCCTACAGAGAAGAGGAAGTTTTTTTTTTTTTCAGTCAGTTTCACCATGGCCAAATACTTTATATGTATTTGGGTCAGAGCAAGTAACGTAAAATTATTTAACATTACAATTTCTCGTGTGATTGTAGGTTTAGAAGCATGACTGGAGGTAGAATGCTACGAACTGCTTCGCATCACCTGTACTTCTGAGATGGTAGACTGAAGATTCCAACCTACTTTGTTTGGTTTTACATTTGTGGTGGTGTGAAATTTGAACAGACAGTGACATATCCTGCCTAAATTTTATTACATGAGTAATGCCCAGGGTTTTTTTTTTTTTTTTTAAAACTTCTGATAAAAGGGCTGAAGTAATATTAAATGTACCTAATTTACATGCGGCTATCTCTGCAGATGCCCCATGATCTGCCCGAGCAAACATACTGGATTGCTGAGTGCATGCAATGCAGCCCATCAAATGCTGGGACCTCACACTCACTTCCCCAGAAGCTGTACAGTTTGTATTATTCATGTACTAACATGCTCTCTCTCCACATTTGCATTCCCTATTCCTCCAAACCCCCCCCCCCCCCAAAAAAAGTGGGTTTTCTTTTTCATTTTACACATCCTGTGTACAAGGAGTTGCCCAAAAAAAGGAAAAAGAAATTTATCTTCACTGAAAGCTTTGATGCTTTATGGACTCTCAGGAACTGAGCAAAGCTGCGAACTATAACGCAGAATTGCTCAAGTTGTGTTCGGGCGCCAAAAACCCAAGCCCATGAGCAAAGAAATCCACCTGTGATCGAAATAAATCAGAGACCTGGAAAAAGCTTATTTGAACTTTTTTCGTAAGTTAAAAATGAGCAGTGGACCTTGAAGGTAAAAATACTAAAGAAAAAATGAAAGAAGTTTCCCGTAGATGGAGATGAGGTCCGCCTGGGAATCCAAGAGAGAAGGTACGAAGAAAAAAATGAAAATGATTGATATGGTTTTGTGAGGGCAGAGAGAAAAGGTTAAAGAAATGAAAGAAGCTAAAGAAAAATTGGCATAATCATAAATAAAAGGTTATAAGCGGGTCCTATTCGTGATTTCCAGATCTAGAAAAACAACAATCACCCCTTGTACTTGGAGGATATTTCCTGATATGTTGGTTGCAAAAATCTAAACCGTCATGAGCTTCGAAAATGTGCGTTTGCATGTTTCTTGTCATTTATTTACGATACAGCTGACATGAATTGATTTGCAATCATTTACTATGTGAAAATGAACATATATTGTTATTAATCATTTAGTTTTTAGATTTTAGCTTAGCTCTGGACTTGGCAAAAGGAGACCCGCAGTTTAACAGAAAACACTTGATGTATATACTACTTTCGATCTTTAACATAAGAGTTAGTTGATTAATTTAAGTAGATTAAGAAAACTAGTTAAGTTAATTATTTGTAATAACTATATGTTGTATTTCCTAAAATATCTTTGATAATCAAGTTTATTAGATAGAACTATCATTATTATAAGGACTACTTTAAGGGAAAATAGATAAATATGAGAAACAAAATATATTAAGATCTTATATTTAAGATCAAAATAAAAGTAAAACGAGGTCTTATATTAAGAATTGGAGGTAGTACATAGAACTTATAACAGAAATCACTGTTTCAAATAACTGATATTTAGTACTACCTCCCGTCCTATTTATAAGAGCTAGTTGACTAATTTGAGGAGATTAAGAAAAGAAGTTAAGTTAGTTATTTGTAATAAATAGATATTATCTTTCTTAAAATATCCTTACTAATCAAGTGTATTAGCTAGAACTATTAGTGTTAGAACAACTATCTTAGGAAAAAAATACATAAATATGAGAGACAAAATAGATTGGGATTTTATATTTAGGATCAAAATAAAAGTCAAATAAGGTCTTATATTAAGAACCGGAAGTAATATAAAGGAGAAATAAGTTGTTTTGAATTTGCTATTATAACAATAACTATGTTGTCGTAACAGTAATGGAGAATCTGTTTCCTTGTTTTAAAAAAAAAAATCAAAACCACCCAAAAAAAAAAAAACATGCAACATAAAGTGTTTGTTTAAATGATATGGCAAACGTGACAAGCGCCTTGATAGCCGGAGAAACAGAGAGAGAGAGAGAGAGAGAATGGAGTAACGGGTATTGTTGGATTCAATCAAACTCGAATTATTATTATTATTATTACTAACTCCTGTCTAGTTAGTTGGGAATCGCAATTAATCTAAAATAATATTTTAATCTGTTTTGTTTTGTATTTTTTAAAAATATCTCTATTAATTAAAAAAATTATTAAAAACTAATTTTAATTATTTAATACATATGATTAAAGAAAATAATTTTAAAAAATTAACATAATAAATAATTAATTAATTAATTTTTTTAATCACCACAAAAGTTAGCATGCTACGCATGAATCCGATTATTTTGAAGAGCAAAAAAAGGAAAAAAAAATCTGCGCGTTGACCGGTCAAAGGGACATTAAAAGCAGTATCTTTAATTTTTAACCCGTAAACAAGACGGGTTTGAACGGGACATGCATTGACGGATATTTTGTTCCTTCTTTGACCACAACTGTTGTTTTCTGTGTGTCTGAATCTGAACTCTGAATACCCAACAGAAACAGACAACCAGAAAGACAAACCCACGCTGGCCACTCCACAAATAGACAAAATTGCGAACCGAATAATTCACTTGAAGTTGATATTCATTAAGAAAAGAAAAAGCTGAAATTAATAACTAACAGTTCAGTGATATCCAAAAATATACACTAAGATGCTGCTGCAGACGAAGATGAAGACGAAGACGACGACTCAAATTTGTAATATTTATCGACGGCGAGTGAGACGTCCCAAGTACAACTGAGACCTTTAGGGATGATCACGAGGTCTCCGGCGCCGAACTCCACAAACTCCGATGAGCCTTTTGGGTACGCCTTCACCTTCCCTTTCAGCAGATAACACGTCTCTTCTGCATCAAACTTCAACTGGTACTTCCCTGGCGAACAACCCCATCTTCTTTTTGTAACCCACAAAACAAAACCCATCACATCCCCAGGAAAATAGAAGCAAAAACACAAACATCAGAGATGAAGAACTTAAACCCAGATACATGGATTTGCAGAGAGAGAGAGAGAGAGAGAGAGAGAGAGAGAGGGATTGAGAACAAGGAGCATACTTGGGCCAGCAGGTGACATTAAGAGTGGCAAGGCGTGCCTGAGGAGGATTTCTTTCGACGATGATTTTAAGGTTTGAATTGGAATCTGAAGCCATGGAATATAATGGGGGAGGAGTAGGGTGAGAGAGAGAGAGAGAGAGAGAGAGGAGAAGCCGATGAAATCAAAAGTATGGTGCTTTAATTGCCAGCCGGTGACTGTGAGATATTTGGAGATTAAAGAAGGAATCTTCTGCAGAGTTAGAAGACGATAAGGAAGGCTTGGAATATATGTTCATATATGTTACTCCTCCGATACTTATTATAAGATCCAATTTGACTTTTTATTTGGTCCTAATTATAAGACCCAATCCATTTTGTTTCTTATATTTATGCATTTTTTTCCAAGATAATCCTTCTAATAATGATAGTTTTAGCCAATATACTTAATTAGCAAGGATATTTTAGGAATGACAACATTTATTTATTATAAATAACCAACTTAACTTACTTCCTTAATCTCCTCAAATAAGTCAATTGGGTCTTATAATTAGGACCGGAGGAGTATTATATATCTACTGGTCTTTTTCTTCTTTTTTTATTTGAGAATCTCCCCACCACATCATGCAATTGCCTGTAGCATCACCACCCACGCTTATCTCCGTTTGCTGACCGCAGTAATATCAGAACCCATTATGAGGAATAGAATAGCACTATTAATCTAACCCTTAATCATTTTTAAAATAGCAGGCATGTTACAAGCTGTTCAAACGTGCGAGGTCCTAATTTTTTAATGAGTTTATGCCATTAAATCATATAGTCTATATATATATTAATCATTGCATTAGGTGTATTTATTAAAAATACGAGTATAGATTTTTATAAATAATATTAATTTCAATTCAATTGTGATTTATATAGTTTTACTTGAAAAAACAATCAAAGAAAACTATTATATTTTACGTGTTCTACCGTTGCGCATCCTTCTTCATTCTTGATTTTTTTCGTAAACTATTATATTTGGTTGCAAAATGAACTCATGGATATAAAATTGATGTTTTGATCATCAAATGAAACGAAGTCACCGATTATAATTTTTCATATTTTTCTTTGAACCCAGTGATGATATTTTTAACTTTTCACCAAAATCGACTTCCTGGACGTTGTCAATTGAACTGATCTCTGCTTTATCTAACTTTATTACTCAGGGATGAATGAATGATATAGTTGGATACTTTCTCTTTACGGTGTGGGTGTCTCACTTTAATCTTCTTACTTTTAGCATTTATTCAAAATATTAGATAATATATTTATTTTCTTTTATTATGATTTTTTCATTACGATGTTTAATTTAATTTTAAACATGGTATATCATATATTTTTACATAGAAGGATATTTGAGTCATTTATATATTTATTTATTTTTGTTTCTCTATTTTTTCATATCCATCCAAACACGAGGGATGACAGCATCTTCTTCCTAATTTTCTCTCATCCCCCCCGGGGTTTTTTTTTTCCTTGTCATTTTCTTTTCTCTCCGCTTTTCTTCCATGAAAATTGAAACCAACCTATAGATGAGACCCATTCATTTATCACCTAAAAGGCAACGGCGTTACACCCATTTTGCTTTCAGACCTGTTTCATTTGCGTGGCCCAAAAATGTTTAAAAGCCCATGATCCATCCATCCATCCATCGCACGTGCGGATAACAGAAAAGAATTATTGAAGTGAAAAAAATCAGTCTAATCTTTTTTAGAATTCTGTTTCATGATGAGAGACAAGAATAATGAATAACGATAAGTCATTCACAGATTTACAATCCTGTACCATTTGATTGTTTGAAAATATTAAAAAGAAAAATGGTAATTCACATGCACAACAAGGTGTACAAATGAAAGGCGGTTTAGTACCGTCCCTTCCCTGAGCGAGCCTTCGCATTTTCATGTAGTTTGAGATAACTGATAAGCCATAATTGACAAATAAAATACAACTTCCTAAAACCTGCATAAACATACTGATGATTCATGTAATATAGCATATTAATTTAAACGAGATTCCTAAGGTTACATTTTCTGAATTCAAGCATTACACCAGTAAATCCATGCACCAAGCTGAAAGTAAAAACTAGAATAGGTTATGCTAGCATGTTTACATCCAACCTAACAACGGGGATCAAAGCCTAGCATGGTTGAAATGTAAGAACTGTACAATTAGGACATCATCTCAGACCACGGAGTTTTGAAATGTTGTTTCTCAGTTATGCATGGCCAGACCATTCCAGGACGCGTCAAAATCACAGAAAATAGGATCGGGGGATAAAATATTCAGCTCAGAAGGCAGAGCATTATCTTTTTCCATGAGCCAGTCCTCAAAATCAGCAAGGTGGGCGCTTCCAGCAAACAGCAGACCAGGATCGTTCGTGTCGGGAGGTTGGTTAGTAGCCCCTGGGATTGGTGGCTGAGAACTTTCAATCTGAGGTTCAACGTTTTGGCTGGAATTCTCATTCCACACCAAGTCAACAAATGAATGAACAGCCTTTGTCGCAGTTTCCCCACGATTATCAAGAAGTTCTTGTTGACAGGAATCTTGATTCACCTTTCCCCATTGAGAGACATCAACACTGGCATTTTCAATTTGGCTCCCAATTTGATGCCCATTCCCATGCAGATTGCTACTCAGGCAAGCCACACCCTTTGAAAGAGCATCATTACCTTGAACACAAGATTGATAAAAACTCTGGCTATTTTCCAAACGGGATGGCTGAGTGTATGCTTGGATTTCAGAAGCTACGGTATTTTCACCATTGAAGTTTAAGCTGGGCCTTGCAGAGCTTATATGAGGGCATGAAGACAAGTTTGCAGGGAGCCAACCATTATTCCACCTATTGTGAGTTCTGTCATTTGATAAGCCTGGAGAATCATAATATTTGCTACCCCGTACTGCAGGATTGACATGATTGCTATAGCCAGATGAATCATGAGCAGAATGGTTCACAGTCAGGGTTCCCCCGGCATTACCTAGCCCATTAGAGATTATAAAACGAGAATACTGAGGGCGTAAGTTACTCAAACCTCGCCGCCGATCCCTTTGGAATGCATTATTACGTACACCCAGCCCAGGCCTAGGAACAAAGGAAGTCGGGGATCTGTTCCTGATGAAAGTAGATGCTGACTCCTGACATCTACCATGGTTGATGCCATTTGGAACCGTAAAGTTAGTTGTTGAGGGGCACATAGGGATGGTATTTGCCCTCGAGACCTGATTCTGAATGGTAGAATTCAGTGAGGAGGAGCAAGCATGGATTATAGGAGACCAATGGTCATTATTTTGTGGGATAGTATGTGTTGTGGTCAATCGGGATGCCTGAATCTGTGAAATGGAATTTGTGGACAATTGACTAATGCCAAGTGGCAGAACTTGGTTTTGCTGGGAATGGTCCAAAGGGAGTGAATTACCATAAATAGTTGAAGCTGGTAAGGGAGCACTCTTCTTCAGCTTGAAATTTTTCCTCTGAATTTTCCACATCTCAACCTTTTCAGTTGCATGACAATGATCAGTACTGGAAATGCCGGTACCCCACTTTGGACAAGGGGCTGGCAAATCACAGACGTAACAGTGGCACTGCATGTTATCAGGGATAGAAATCAGAGTGACAGAAGGATAATAGCATAGAAAAAATATGATGCTCAGACAGTTAAAGCATATGTGCTAAATTCACATAATGTGATCTATACCTTTTCGCAGTGACTCTCATGGGGGGTGGAAGAGAACGGAAATGTAGCACAGTGATGGCGAGGATGAGGATAGTCCCTACATGCAATCTTCAAGGAAAAACAAGAGGAGATAAAAAATCATAAACTTACAGATCAGGTATACTTCCACGCTCAGCAAAGAAAAAGTATGTGACTCAGGAATGAACAAATAAATGCACCCAAAAAAACATCTGAAAGCATATGAAAACAGATTACGCAGAAATCAATCAAACTCCTAAAGACCTATATTCATCAAAGATTTGTATTCTTAGCATATGAGAAGTGTCTTTGGGGGAAGGTGGTAGGTGCGCTAAATAATCATGAAGCTACATTTGGACATTAAACAATACAATCTGCCAGGGTTACGATCTCCTCTCTATACTCTGGACTGAGTAAACAACATATACCCATACCCATACCTTTTAGATTAGGATCAATGATCCTATTATCAATCTTTGAATCAGTCCTGCAAAAAGTTCTTTCTTATTTTTTCCCCAAATGCAGAATCCAAGATGGCTATCCCAGGGTCAAACTCTTGTTCCATCACAAACTTCCTTCAGCCTCCTCAATTTCTCCATGTGGCAATTTCATGTCCTGCAAGAATTTGCCACGAGGCTAAACCTTGCCATGCCGCACCATTAAATCATTCAAATATTGAGGTTTGAACTTATGGATGATACGATGGGTTGGCAAAGAGAAAGTTCTCCCCCGAGAACCATGAACCACAAACCTGCTTTTCTAATGCAGCCACATTCAATCAGAAAGAAAAGCTACTTCCACTACGTTGTTGGGCCAAAGCTGACCAGCATCTATATATCTATTCTATATATAATATAAATTCTATATAAAGCCGTACTATTTGTAGGGTGTAAACAGTGTGGCTTACTTCAAACTCATCGTAAAATGCAAGTCCCCAATCTAGTTTCCACTACTGTAGCGGCCCAAAGCTGGACAACAATTAAATGAAGAAAAAATGCTACTACATATAATAAAATTTTAACCCAAAGAAAACACGCAACAGGCTGCAGTTGAAGAGAAAGATCAATTCTTCAGCATTCCTAAAAATGATGATGCTGCCAAATATAAATAAGGAAGGCTTTTAAAATAACCCGTGTGAAGTTAAACGCAAAAGAAAGACGTAGAAGTATCAAACTATATAGATGACAAATAATATCTTGCCGTGAAATATAATTATTAAATAACCCATGCTTCGCCATTCAAAATAGCCATACCACAAAAACCAGTTCAGCTTTGTTTTATTGGGTCTGTTGTTTCCTATAAAATTCAAATATCATGATGTCTTCAACCAACGTTTACAAGAGTTAAGAGTAACTACCACAACCTGGTAAAACAACAGGTTAGGACATCGTTCTCTGTCTCCAACATCTATTAAGCACTAATGCTCCCTAAAGCTACTTTATTTGCACAATGCACAACAAGGAAGGAACTCGGTTCATGAATCTTATTCCTTTTATGCCAGGTAGAG